GCCTAATGAAAACAAACGTATGTGCTGCTTTTTTAAGTATAATAATATATTCATTCATTGGGCCGGAAAAGAAATATTCATTCAAAATGAAAAAATTAACATAGAGGAGGAGGTACCGAATAGAAAAGAACTCACAAATCCTACAAGGTTCAGAGGATGCTCAGGATGATAGCAGCTAGTGTTCTTCCTGCTGCTTTCAAGCTCTAGCAGTAGAACTCCGAAGCTATACACATCAGTTTTGATTGAAACAAAGCCATGAAAGGCATATTCTGGAAAAAAATAACCACTACAGAAATAATCAAAATCAATACAGTTTTCAGTATTTGAAAGAGTAATTAAACAGAGAAAAATGCAAAAGAAGAACGATGTGCTTTGGTCTAGAGCTATCATGAATACTTACTATGTTCCAAGAATTCTAGTTGTATTTTCTTCATATTCATTCTGTCCAAAAGCTCTAACCATCCCAAAATAAAACATTTTTGGTTTCATCTCATTATCAATTAAAATGTTGCTAGCCTTTAAGTCTCTATGAATCATTTCTTAGTCTGAAATGCTTATGAAGATAAGGTAGCCCTTGAGCAATCCCTTCAATGATCATGAAGTGTCTCCTCCAATGCAATATTCCTTTTAGCAACATCTGAATCAAGATTTATACTGGCATTAATTTCGTCAACTTGTAAGCAACAAATCAGAAAAGTTTACCAAACAGAAAGGAATCCAAACTTTTGTTTGGCATGTACTCTTAGATTAATATCTTTCCATCTCCTCGAATGCAAAACCCTAGAAGCCTCACAAGATTAGTGTGCTGGAGCTTTGCAATTAATATTGCTTCATTCTTGAACTCTGTCGCTTCTTGTCCTGAACCGATGGAGAGTCTCTTTATTGCTACTCTTCGCCCATCATGTAATATCCCCTGAAATTATCTTACTTTTGTTTTATATTAGTACATTACATATTTTAGAGACTAAAAATGATCAAAATAAAATAGGCTTATGGCCCAATGGCCACACCCCTTTGAGAAATTAAATGGTGGCACCAAGTCAGGGTTTAAGCTTGGCAATCCCATTTCCCCATCCCAAAGTTGTACTGGTTAATCAAAAAAAAAAAATCAAAAAAAAAATCAAATTAAACGATTCCATTTCCAGTTGGACTATACACAACTAAACTGCCACTAAACTGCTTTCTTATTCCTCCCATCTTGGGTTTACTACAATTTTGCTATATCAAAGGCTCAATCATATATATGAGGAAAAGCATTGCAGAGCCTCTTTTAATGCATGAAGTTGTCTCATTTCTTTCTGTTGTTCCATGACAAATAATATTAGCAAGGTAATTGTATGACAAATTAACATTAGAAAGGTAATTTTTTAACATGGTGAGTAGGCAATTGAAGAACTAAGAAGGACAGATTAAGATTGTGTTTGAGATTGTGGTTGAAGTGCTTTTATTTGTAGCAACATAGTATTTTTAGATATGTGTATAAGATATTTTTGTTTGGATTACTTTTTTCAAAAACAGTAGAAAATTACAATAATTTTACATATAAAGTAAAAAAACTCATTTTAAAGGTTTTTTTTTTGTGCGGCAACACAATTTATTATATAATTACAGCATTAATCATTAATATTTTATTTAATTAACCTAACCCTTTATTTAATTCACTCCTAAAAATTCGAAAACTCATTCCCTAACCCTCTAAATCTTTTTCCATACGAGCATTAAATATTGGTTAAATACCTTTTTGGTCCTCTACTATAGAAAAAAGTCCTTTTTTAGTTCCTATATCGAAAAAATCCCCTTTTTTATCTTTACTGTTTGAAATCCAACCCCTTTTTGGTCTTTCTGTTAAATTTTGACTGATGTGGCAAGTTAACTAACAAAAAAACTTATTTTTTTTCTTTATTTTAATTATGTGAAAAATACACCTAGTACAACTTGATGACATGACCAAATTTTTTTGTTTAATTTAACCTTAAAAATCATTTAATTACATTATTGCCATTATAAATATTTTAAAAATTATTTTGTGATTAAAAATACTTACTTTTAATTACTTATTTGCCCCCATCTTCTTCCCACTTTTGTCTTATCCTCTCTTGCCTCATCTTCTTCCCCTTTCTATCTTATGCCGCTAGGTTCGTCACGATGATCCAATTCTTTGAATGATCAAATCAATAGTCAAAATTCAAACACGAAATCAAAATATTTCATACTTAGAATCAGTAGATGCAAGTTAAAATCTAACATAAAAACCAAGATACATAACAGAAGAGATTCGAATCTCCAACTATAATACTCAAAATCATTCCTAAGAACGATCTAATCATCAGATGAAATTCAAAAGCTAAATCCACATCATTCATGTTCAGAAATAGTGAAAACAAAAAATGGAATACGAAATACAAAGTCCTAGCATTCAAACATAATCAGTAGATGAAACCAGGAGCTGGGTTTGTTGCGAACCTAGCCTAGATCTTGGGTTCGTCACAAACCCAGCCTAGATCCTAGGTTCGTTTTGCGAACCCAGATGCTGGGTTAGTATCACGAACCCACGTGAACCCAAGTGTTGGGTTCGCATCACAAACCCACGCGAACCCAGGTGCTAGGTTCGTGATGCAAACCCAGGCACTGGGTTCGTGATGCAAACCCAGGCACTGGGTTCGTGATGCAAACCCAGGCACTGGGTTCGTGATGCAAACCCAGGCACTGGGTTCGTGA